TTGGAAAATCTGTTATGAGAATCTAGGTCTTTCAAAATGAAGTCGCATTCCCAGCTACATGACAATAGCAAAACTCACTTCCCATAGAGTATCCAACATAAATATTTCTTAAGAAGATAAAAATTTATCATAGTCCTCAATAAACTGCTTCTGTCAAAACCCTGTGTCTCATCACCTTGCTTTTGTCAAAACCCTGTGTCTCATCACCTTGCTTTTGTCAAAACCCTGTGTCTCATCACCTTGCTTTTGTCAAAACCCTGTGTCTCATCACCTTGCTTTTGTCAAAACCATGTGTCTCATCAACCTGCCTCTGTCAAAACCTTGTGTCTCATCACCTTGCTTTTGTCAAAACCCTGTGTCTCATCAACCTGCCTCTGTCAAAACCCTGTGTCTCATCACCTTGCTTTTGTCAAAATCTGTGGCTCATCAACCGGCCTCTGTCAAAACCCTGTATCTCATCAACCTGCCTCTGTCAGAACCTTGTGTCTAATCAAACTGCCTCTGTCAAAACCTTGCGTCTCATCAAGCTCGATGTAAGTGACCGATTTTAAATTCTGTAGATTGTACAAAAGACAGTGAGTGAATAGCAAAAGTTTTGAAATCTATGTTGCGATTGAGGGATATCTAAAATGACGGGAAGAAATGTAAATGTCTAGATGGAGAGGTGCTGCAGCCCAATGCTCAATAAAGCTAAGCTTATTTTGAAGTTTATTTAAAGACAGGTTTGGGAAACAATTATTAGCAAAATGTGAAAAAAAATATTAATGTACTTTTTAAAATCAACACAAAGTATTTTCCCCTTTTAACACCGACTCAGTAAACGATATAAAAGTTAATTAAACTACATAGCTACATCATTTTGATTCAGTATAATTTTGATCAATTATACATTTTCTTGTATTTGAAACTGCTGATATCCATATACAGAATATCAGGTAATCTTTTAATGGTGTTCGGGCCCGTCATTACAACGCGTAACCTCCTCCAATCCTGAATAATTCGGCTAAAGAAAATATTCATCATCCCCCATCCCCCACTCCTCACCTACACCCCCACCACACCCCCAGACCCACCCCACTCCTCGCCTCCACCCCCACCCACCCCCAATCTTTTGACTAGTCGGTCCCTGTTAGGTCATGCTTGTTCTGATGTCACGGGTCGGTACCGTTTACATTGTACGGTGTACTGTTGAACTCATATAAAGTACTGAATAGATTCTTTGTTCTATAGAACTGATTCTACAAAGAGATAATTAAAGTACAAAATAAATACACATACATTCGATACGAGATGTTTGTAAATGCTTTTTATTTGTTACTTTGATGACCCAGACACCAGCAGCGGATTCAATACCAAGCTTAAGAAGCATTATTTGAACACATAGCTGTACCGAAAATCAAGGTGAGTTATAACTTGCGGGATTAGATCTCCTATCTCATGATATTTTGACCAGTTCCGTTATATATAAAACACGACATCACTATCAGGAGATTTTGTCTAGTTCCGTTATATATCTTGTTAGTTCTGTAATAACTTGTTAGTTATGTTGCATATCTTAGTCGTAGTACCGTGATATATCTTGGTAGTTCCTTTGTATATATTGTAAGTACCGTTATATATATTACTTCCGTTATATATCTTGTAACTTCCATTATATATCTTGTTACTTCCGTTATATATCTTGTAACTTCCGTTATATATCTTGTAACTTCCGTTATATATCTTGTATCTTCCGTTATATATCTTGTAACTTCCGTTATATATCTTGTAACTTCCGTTATATATCTTGTTACGCCGTTATATATATTGTTACTTCAGTTTATATATCTTGTTGCTTCCGTTCCGTTATATATCTTGTTACTTCCGTTATATATCTTGTTACTTCCGTTATATGTCTTTCTATTACGTGTATCAGGCATATGCTTATATATTTGTAGGAAGCCTGGAATGTTGATGATGGAATCTCAGCACGTCTTTGTAAATATCCATCATATTTGTACTACAGCCAGGATGAAACGGTACGGGAGGAAGCTGAACATGTCCTTTACTTACACGCCATCATTTTAGATTTGAAGTATTATATTCTATTTAGTGTTTTCAAGGAGGAAAGGTTTCATTAAATAAATAAAAATGCATCGGAAGCTTTAAACTTTTAATCACCAACACGTTTGGCATTTCGAAATGACTTTTCCAGTTTTTGAAAATTGATCGTGACTTATAGTTATTAAATTTGAATTCTAAAAACTACAGATACTTATGTAGCAAACTAAATCGCTTTTTGGGCGATATGTGTTTATGAACGGACTCATACACGCATTAACAACACGTGCTTGTACTTTGTTTCAGATTATTCGCCTGTAGTATCATCGCAGTAATTTTCCTATTTCTATACGTGGAAAATATACGATATGGAAGTAGAGAAAATACAAAGAAACGTCCAAAAAGAATTCCAAAGAAAACATCTATTGAAGTTTTTTTCTATAATAGACCCTCTGACTTCAGTCTCGACGTCTTTAAAAGTTGTGACTATGCCTGCCATATGGTCGATAAAGGAAATTATAATAAAAGTTATGCTGTAGTGTTCCACTCGGCTACACTGTATAATGAACAACCTCTTAAGAAACAGGATGACCATATATGGATATTTTATACCCTAGAACCACCACATCGCCATCCCGAGCCATTTAAACTGAGAAAATGGCAACGACTCTTCAACTGGACAATCGGATACAGAAGGGATGCGGACATCTTAAATACATATGGAAGGATAAATACATTATCTTTTGAAAGACAAAATGATATGAAACAGAAATTAAATTTTTCAATGTGGAAAGAAAAATCAGAATTTGCTGCATGGTTTGTTTCCAACTGTTTCGACCAAGCTAAGAGAGATGATTTTGCAAACCTACTGAAAAAATATATATATATCGATAAGTTCGGCAAATGTGGAGCAATGAAATGCCCGAAATCACAAGACCCTGATTGTCAGCGAATGTTAAAAGACAAATATAAATACTACCTGGCTTTGGAAAGTGAATTTTGTCGAGATTACATAACGGAAAAAAGTTTTAAAATCTATTGGGATTACACAAACACTATACCTGTAGTGAGAGGGGGAGGTAACTATAGTATGTATCTACCGCTTGGGTCGTATATATGTACAGACAGTTTCAAGACTGTGAAAGAATTAGGCAAACGTATGATTGGTTTGTCTAAAAATGTTATAAAGTCAGAACCATTCTTCCAGTGGCAGAAATATTACAACGTACAGTCAATGGCACAGGAACCGTTTTGCGAATTGTGTAGAAAACTGCACGATCCAACGAACTATCCCCGTGTGTACAATGACATCAATGCTTGGTTAAGAGGCACTAGTAACACAAGAATTTGTAAACCGAGGAGAGATTTACAATAAAGTTCACTTCATCAAATGTACACTTAGTTGTTCTGCTGTTAATCATTTCATAGTCAGCATACCATAGGAGAGGGAGCGTCGTTACGTAGTCGGTCAGAGTGTTGGCCTGGTAACTAGGCTCAAGTGAAGACCCAAGGTGCAGTTTTACACTTCCTACATACGGTGGCTCCTTTGTGTCATTTCATTTTAACGAAATGACACAAAGTAGCTATCATCATGAAGCAGGGAAATATATGTTCATATCCTCGAGTATGACACTTAACAAATATTTTCTGAATGACACGCGACGGGCCTTCCGTATGGTGTTCAGTGTTGTATCAATCATTCATAATAAGGACCCTACCTGAATCTAGATGTTCATTTGGTAATAAGCCAAACGAACAAAGAAATGGAACATCTGCGTGATTCTTGTCTCCACAAGCATGATATTTGTATCATTCAGACCTCAATATGTCTTTATACTTTATCGAAATAATCTAAAAATAGAAAGATGGCACATGGTTGTATTCGGATTTTTCTGTAACAAGGACATCATTGATGAGTCCAAGAATGTGGTGTGCTGTATTCCGCTGCATCGGTGTAGGAGACAACTTAAATTGAACCCCTTTCCTTGCTAAAATCAGTGGGTTGTTTAACCAACATATTGAGAGGCTTTCACCGAAATTAAGTAAGTCTACAAATACATAACATTGTCACAGAGCGAATTTATTGTAAAACACGTGATTTGTTACAGCATCATCGTTCTGACATACGAGATCATTTAGTTTGTCAATGTCGTCTGCTAGACATCGTTCTGACATCCACACATAGAACTGTTACAAAAAATGTCTTTGTTATTGTTTCACTTACTAGCAGAAGCGACATCCATTTATGAATTTTCATGTTTAATCTATTCTTTATATCAAATACAATGTAAAATCCATTCCATGGCAGGAAAACGTCAATACTCCCGAAGTAAACTAGACACATCGCTTCGTAATATCCAGCTGATGCCGCATCACATGTTGACTAGATATCAATGCACAATTTACTATTTGTATTCCAAACAAATGAAAGAAGTCAACAGCTGTATAAACATTGAATTCACTAGATGTTACGTATCAACGATATCAACTACTGAAACGAAACGAACTGTCGAAGCTGCACAGTAGAGTGACAACGCACTCTCCTTTCACCTAGACGTTCACACTTCGTTTCGCCGAACAGATACGAAAAGGTTAAGGGTCACCTGCTCGACCACGTGGGTTTCCCCGAGAGCCCAAAATCCTCCCACAGAGAGACCTCCCACTCTTTTTTGGGGGCCAACAAGAGTGATTAATATAAGTTGGAATAAAAGTATTATAAATGGAATTTATATTAATTTGAACTGATGAAGGAAATTTGAACTCGTCTGATTTATTTTCCTGATATCTTTCTACTTGATCTGTCTGAAACGCTCCGTGAATGACAGATTTTGTTTCTTGATAAGCATTAAGAAATTATAGTTACAACAATTCAAAATTTCTGGACCAAAACTTGCTAACACACTATACTACCACATTGTAACAGAATCATATTTTACAATAGAATAGCACTATAAAAAGAGCTATTTATGATCGGTTATATTAGCGATGTCATTTACAACACCGTGACACATTGGATAATCGTCATTTCCGTTCAGCCATGTTTCAATGCTACCATATAGCCGGTGATGTTTTGTGCTGCGATCCGTTTCATGCAGTCGCCTACAAAGTTCACAGAATGGTTCTTCAGAATCTATCATATCTGAACTAGAATAAAAACGCTTCCACTGAAGATATTTCTCAAAATTATCGAGGTGATTTGATACTTCATTTAAACGTGTTCCCAAAGCTTGTATTGCGTTGAAGTCATTCGTCGTGACGTAACTTCCGGGTGGGAGATATATCGACTCGTTAGCTCCGCTGCGCGTGACAGGAATTAAATCTAAATTATGCGTAAATACATTAAAACTTTTTTCAGTGATATAATCCCGACATAAAGAATTCTCGAAACTTAAATAGAATTTATACCATTTTTTCATATATCTCTGACAAAGACTTTTATAATGTCTGTAACACTGAAACTTACCACACTCTCCGAATATATCAATATCGATAAAACGACTTAAGCGCGTGGCATATTGTTGTCGCATGGAAGAAGCTTTGCATTTCGACACAAACCAAACAGCATCATGTATTTTAGCATTCCATGCCTTTTTTGTAATGACGTCACTTCCTGTTATCCTATCTTTCCCTTTTAGATCTTTGTTTGAATTTTTGGGAGTAAACATCGAGTAGGGGCTCAGAATATCCGAATCTCGTCGATATCCAAGCGTCCAGTTGATAAGGTTACCCCAGGATCCCCATATATCATGATGGTTTTTCGGCGATTCCATTGAGTGGATAATCCAAATTTGGCCAACTGCCTTTTCTTTTGGAATTGTCGTGATGCTGGGTGCATGGAATATTATGGCAGTTTCTGAATCTAGGTATGCAATATTTGTGCCTGTTGTTAGAAAACACTGATGATCACAATTCTTGAACAATTTTTGGGTTGGCAACCAGCCTGGAACATTATAGTAGTGAACACGCTTTCGGTACACTGTGCTGTTCTGAGTAAAATTCTCCCGAAAAGCATACGCCGGTTTATCAGCATGAATGTTAATTATCACTTCCGGTGACGTCATTTCATTCTTCCGGAAACGCATCGACATATAAGGCACCGCATACATGACGGGACCCATGAAAAGAACTAGCGCGAAGCCGCAGAAGTAAAGTCTGAAACTGCAAGAGAAATCAACGAAGATAAATCACAATAGTTGGAAAATCCGAAATCATGAGGTAGTTAGATTTGTTTTAAACATATTCCATCGTCACATAAAATAAAGCGATATGAGTTTTTACTCTTATCTTACATAATTCCTTTCCCAAAGAATTCAAAATTCAAAATTGAGAAAACACAGGTCACATTACTTCATATATACATGTAAGGATGAATCCTTTGATTTCCGAAAGTGGAAATAATGATTTTTTGAATCTAATATCCAACGCTTGATGGAATTGGACAGTGTTATAAAATGGCAAATAAAGTCATTTTTCCTCTTACGTAATAGGTAAAAATATGATGTATTCAAAATGTTGTCAATTGGTGTAGTGCTACAGGTACAACTATATACAAAAAAGTTTTTTTAATCCATCGCTGATATCTAAAAATATCTCGTTGATCTTTTCAAAATGTTGTTGAAAATATACATATATATAATATTGTTAATGAATAACCAAACGCAATAACAATTCCTTACTTTAGTGAGATGCAGCATCGGAAAGGTCTGCTGGGTGTCGTTACTGGATTACGTTTATCTGGAAGAAAGCGATACAGTTTAACAACTGAACTATAAGAAACAATACTGTTTGAATAGAGTCACCTTCATCAGACAAATGACCAGTGTGGAGCGTACTAGCACCGACGTACGTAGTGTACGAGATGGTAAGGAATCGACCAACTCATTCGGGTGCACTCTAATCGTATATATACTTATGTCGAAAATAGTGTGACGAGATGGTACACAAGTTATAAACTGACAATACATTTGATGGTAACAATGTACTGTAGTCATTTCGGCTACGCTTTACTTTAAATCTGGTTATAAGTACTTCTATTCTTTTGACATTACCAACCCGAGGAATATGTCAAAAAAATTTAGGAAGACAGAAAGGAGATAAAATGTACAAATATTTGTTAATGTATAAAATATTAACTGTGTATCATCTTTATGAAAACAAACTGATAAATAAGAGATTGATGGCGAAACATCTGCAAGTTATTCTTAACAATGACACATTATTTCAGAGATATATACATGACTAGTATGCAGTGTCTAGTAGCGCTAATTAAGGAGAATGCTATTTATAACACGGTTCCGTATGAAGCATATATCTATAATAAGTTAGCGTAACAAAATGTCTGTTAAAATACAAAGATAATTATGTGGATTGCCAGCACTCACTTGTCGATCTTCTCGCCATAATCCCGATCCTCTTTTATGCCGGTATATCAGTGTGTTATAGACCGTCCCGAATACTATATTTAACCCCATAGTATCTAACGATTAATCAGAGCGACTGGTATTATCTCGTGTCGGAATAACAGAAGCCGACACGTGTATTGAACACGTACAAATAGCCAAATAAGTACACTGTCCATGGTACACTGTGTCCGAAAATACGTGGAAAAAGTTTCGCTAAGTTTTGAAATTTCATTTTTACAGTATATGAGTTTATGTTATATTTTTTAATAGGTGAGGGAGACATTTTTTTTATGTCAATTTCATTCTTTTTAATTCCATATAATATCTAACACAAACAGAATCATATTTGGACACCATAACACAATTGAAGAAGCCAGACAATGTCTGACTCGTGTCCTGTCCAGACTTCAAACTCACGAATTGAATTGCTTAGTCAAGAATTTCTATAACTACCTATTGATTACATAGGTTTGTAGCGATAGACAGCGTGAGACATGACACTGGTAAAATTTTAAAAAAAAATAAAATGATAATTAATAACAGCATTTCAGAGTGTTAGATAACATATGAAATGACTCACAGCAGATGTCTTAAAACGGTGTGTTTTTACTATACATTGTGGCGAAACATTGAGGTGAGGATATACTTTTGACACCTGACTTCATGTAAACTTCGGAGTATTATCGAGTTCTGCTTAAGTTAAAACAATAGCTAATTGTAACAAAGAATAAGACCATTGAATTTCGTGTCGGGTTTACACAGATCAGAAGATCGCCAGTCAGACATAGCATAGCGAATTCAGTCCGTGTTAACAATGAAATAAGCCAACCCTTAGTTAGTTAAGTGTTTTGTCATATGAGACATACACATGGATACATTTTACATTAAGCTTTACAGAGATCTACGGTAAAATTACCAGTTTTTTTGTATAATTCATTGAAATCTGAAAATATCAAAGGCAATATGGTCCGCTGTGTCCGCACGTCCATGATGATGCTGAAATCTAGATCCGTCAGGTAAGTTTTGTAATTATATTGTAGGAATATAACATTTTAACGTAAAATGTTTTAAAGTTTCAATAGTCGTGAGTGCTGATTGAAGCGTAAGGAAGACATATATATATAGTATATATAGCTATATTTGTAGAATAGACTTGACATACAATTTACACTCTACATGGCTACATTTTATCTACATCTATAAAATAGATTTTGCATAGATCCTTTATAGCTAAAACTTATTTAGATGTCTAGAATAAGTTTAGAAACAGTGGTACATAACTAAAATTAATTCAGATGTATACAGAACAATTAACACAGGTCCTTTATAGCTAAACCTTATTTAGATATATACAACACACGTGACATAGGTACTATGTAGCTTAACCTTATTCAGATATATACATCACGTGACATAGGTCCTATATAGCTAAACCTTATTCAGATATATACAACACACGTAGCTTAGGTCCTATATAGCTAAACCTTATTCAGATATATACATCACACGTAGTTTAGGTCCTATATAGCTAAACCTTATTCAGATACATACATATAGGTCCTATATAGATAACCTTATTCAGATATATACATCACGTGACAAAGGTCCTATATAGCTAAACCGTATTTAGATATATACAATACATGTAGCTTAGGTCCTGTATAGCTTGTTTTCATCTTATCGAAATATCAAAGAGGGAGGATTTTGCTATGAAACCTATTTTGATGCCTCTCTAAATCTAAATAATATTTTTTGAAAAAAAAAAAAGATTTCTAAAGAACGTTGATAAAGCCGATGGCATGCAGGTTATAGCAAACCTTGGGGGCGAAAAAAATCGCGAACAATATCTACAGTTTCAAATAAGTGTAACAAAGACATGCTGCGACTAGTGTTTATGTAATTGTTATTGTAGGATTAATTGAAGTAATAACCGTAAATTATTTAGCACAGGGGAGGTAACTCTTATAACATTGTTCCCCATCAAATGAAGAGTCACTTGTTCTTCAGATGTAGTTTTGTTTGCAAAATACATTTCCTTGTGAAAAGCAAAGACAACTCGCCGCTCGTGAAAAGACAATCCTTACTTTCTAATGACATTGATATTATACATGGTGATTAGGTAACTGAAATAAAAAAATAAATAAATAGATAAAGACATAAATGGATAAAGACATAAATAAATAAATGAATGAATAGATAAAGAAATAAATGAATGAATAGATAAAGACATAAATAAATGAATAGATAAAGACATAAATAAATGAATATATAAAGACATAAATATAAATTATAAATAAATAAATAGATAAAGACATAAATGGATAAAGACATAAATAAATAAATGAATGAATTGATAAAGACATAAATAAATGAATAGATAAAGACATAAATATAAATTATAAATAAATAAATAATTATAAATAAATGAATAAATAAATAAATAAAGACATAAACATAAATCCATAATTCAATAACGTATCGTGAAAAAACGTTGCAATATTTAAACATCCTGTTATTTGTATAAAAATTCTTGTGATTTACGTACCTCCTTTTTTGAATCGGTATACTTTTGACGCCTGGTTTGTATGTCTGATCTTGCACGTGTCCCCTCTATAACCGAATGCTATTTTTATTCACTGATATAATTCAGAATGACATTTATTCCATTAATCCTTTTTTTCAATTTTAGAATCTGTCTCTCGATGACCAGATTGTCCACGTGTGTTGTCGTTGCTGTATTCTTCGTCTTTGCAAGTTTTGCGACTTTTGACCACTACAAGAATCAGTTGTCGTCGGTATTGCGCCACAAAGCCGTATCGTTTATCGACATCTCCGAGCGAAACAAACCAATACCATCAATGGCGTCGAAAAAATTCCAGGAACCAAAAAAAACTAAGTTTCCTAAGCTACTAGTTAAAACATCGAATAAATTTGCTCGTGTTCAATTTCACCCTAAGCGATATGTTAACAAGATGCGTACGAGTTTTCGACAAATAGAGCGATCATCAAACTTTGTAAAGGTACCTAGTAAAAGTGACGTAGATACCTGTAAAAATGGAGGTCATTATTCACAAACAAATAGATCAGATGATAAATGTATACGGATCCATTACTACAACCCTCCGGCATGGATCGAACGGGACTCTTTAGAAAGGTGTTACTACCCATGCTACTTTACTTCCGGCGGTGACTACCAATCAGCGCCCGCGGTTTTATTCCACATGTCAGCAGTGAATAAATCCCCTCCTCTAAAACCATCAGGGCAAATTTGGATATTTCACTCCCTGGAAGCTCCGGGAAATAGTAACAATAACTTTATGCATTGGAATACCTTATTCAATTGGACCTACACATATCGTCGGGATTCTGATATTATGCAGCAAGTTGCTGCACTCCATCGCCGAGAAATCCCGCTGGATGTTGAGAATTACATGAATAGCATTCCGTTGCTATGGCAGAATAAGTCACGTGACATAGCATGGTTTGTGTCGCGTTGTAAGGTACAAAGTAGCCGGCAAATGTATACAAAGATGTTGTCAAAACATGTTAATGTGGATATTTTTGGAAAATGCGGAAGCTTGAAATGCCCATCTGAAAAATGGCGAGATTGTAATATGATGCTTACTAAAGTATATAAATACTATTTATCATTTGAAAATGCCTTATGTACAGATTATGTCACAGAGAAAATGTTTAATAGTTTTGTTGACATGACGTATGTTTTACCGATTATAAGAAACCGGTGTAATTTAACATTGTATCTACCTCCCGGTTCATATATCAACACAAACGACTTCAAAACTATTTCCGACCTCGCCTTGTTTTTACAATCTTTGGCAGAAAACAAATTTTCTGTTAATAAGTATTTCACCTGGTGGAAGAAATTTTACTTCGCACGAGCTGGCGTAAGTGGACTTTGTGAAATATGTAAACGTCTTCATCACCCGGAGGGATATCACAGAGTATATAACGACATAAGCGCGTGGGTGAAAGGTTCGGAAATTTATCACAATATGATGTGTAAATACGCCAGAGATATTAAGTAAAGGTTGATCTTTCCAAAAACAATTGTTTTCTTTATCATCAATTAAATATCCACGAAATGATCCTTTGAAGTATGAATACTGTTATTGGTGATTGATAATGCATGCAAGTTCATCACCAGCATCGGTATATGTAAGTTTACAATATAACTGTTGTACATCGTTGTAACTCACAATAGGAATGTAATGCACGTGATGAAGTCTATAAAGTGCCGTGAACAGCAGGGGTAGTTTAACTACAATCACCGTCAGTTGCGTCCATCGCCAGACGGCCACACCTATTGCAATGTAGCACGGGGCGTCCTTCGTCAGACGGCCACAACTATAACAATGTAGCACGGGGCGTCCTTCGTCAGACGGCCACAACTCACAATATAGCACGGGGCGTCCTTCGTCAGACAGCCACAACTATTACAATGTAGCACGGGGCGTCCTTCGTCAGACGGTCAAAACTATTACAATGTAGCACGGGGCGTCCTTCGTCAGACGGCCACAACTCACAATGTAGCACGGGGCGTCCTTCGTCAGACAGCCACAACTATTACAATGTAGCACGGGGCGTCCTTCGTCAGACGGTCAAAACTATTACAATGTAGCACGGGGCGTCCTTCGTCAGACGGCCACAACTATTACAATGTAGCACGGGGCGTCCTTCGTCAGACGGCCACAACTCACAATGTAGCACGGGGCGTCCTTCGTCAGACAGCCACAACTATTACAATATAGCACGGGGCGTTCATCGTCAGATGTGTGAAGCCAACATAGCGCTGATACAGCAGTCTTGCATCTTCATCCGTGACTTTCGTTACATTCCAGCCATGACCAAACATGCTGATAATTCCACAATCTGCATCGTGTTCAATCCTCGACACAATGCCGTTGACTGAATTCAAATTTTCACAGGAACGATACTCAACCAAGCATTGCAAAGATCTCTGGTTAGTACATTTCTTAATCTACTTTTGACATTTTTTGGGATTACTTTAGATTTTCTTCAGTCATCTCATGGGCTTCATAATTTAGGTCGTTAGAATCACTGACTATGAAACAGTTGTATGATGCAGTATAATTATACTATTTCTATTTTTTTTAGTAAAAGGTACTGTTGATTTGTGTGTGCTTTACACAATCTCCAAACTATTTAAAGGAAATTATTGAACCATGTCTGCATTATCAGAGTCTAGATAGATATTCACTCCGTACTGTTCGAAAGTTTAATACTCCACTATGTCGAACTCCTTAGTGTTGAATGTTTAATACTTCGCTATCTTGAACTCCGTACTGTTCGAAGGTTTGATACTCGCTTTGTCGAACACCGTACTGTTCGAGGGTTTCATAGCCCGCTATGCCGAGCTCCACACTGTTAGAAGATTTGATACCCCACTGCTATGTATGTCGAATTCCGCACTGTTCGAGGAGTTGATACCCACTTTGCCGAACAGACAGCTTCTTTTCCGTTAATGTCTTAGTTAAATGATATTTCTCCAGAAATTACTTCCGTCAGGATTATCTGACAGAGTTATATTTGTTTTATATGTTACAAAATTTAATCATACATGATCTGTTCCGTTTTCAACCCTCAACCTCATGCAAGAGTTTGGCTGGTCAGCACGAGGCTTTGACAAGCCCTGTTCTAACATGAGGGTTGAGATATCTAATGCAAGATTCTATTTATCACGTGCATTTACAAATTTCAAAGTGGTCATGGATACTGTTAATATGTATCTGGTGATGAAAAGTATTTCCTTTTCTAATTTAATATATACAAAATATTGTCAAAAGTATTGTCACAATAATCGTTACGATCGCTGGGGTCTTAAGAACAAATTTCAAATCTGACGATTATTTTTACGGGAACTTGTATAGAACTTAAAAGAAAGAAAATTCAATTTCCAATTATGTACAAGGTACATTTATCAGTGAATGATCTTTGACATGGATTTCCTAGAAATTAAGGTATTCAACAGCACACTTATACAAATGTCCTGTTATAGCCTAATGATATTCCAGAGTTTAAAACTTCTGGAAATTATGGGTATGTAGGAGTTGCCTCCCTTGCTCTACAGTAGGCGTGGGACCTCTGAATATTATGAGAACCAGTGTAAAGAGGAACGCCAAGAAAAGCAAATGAAATATAAAAACATATCATGATCCATAGGTTTGTAGTGAGTTAGGCAAGCAGATCTGTTTTGGTATCGCCAGTAACCCTAAGTAAAATACAATTAACAGAGGCCCCCGACTCTGCAAGCCCCCCCCCCCCCCAATTAGTGACCTTTTATCAACACACAGTGGGATATTGTCCATTTTGGACTCTTCAATACCTACTAAACAGACAGTAAGTGATGTCATATTAATTAATAGTCGCTTTGACGTCATTCAGTCACAGGTATATAAAAACACAAAGAATACACATGGAATGGTAATTTATTTGATGTCAGAGACCTGACGACACATAGGGTTATCTGAGTCGCCATGTATCCAGATTTTCAGATTGTCATATAACCTATACCTCAGTGGAACTCGATGGGCCTGAGCACATAGCTGACAGAACGCACGATCTCCTGTTGGTTCGTTATAGTAATATTTTCTCCATTGAAAATAATCTTCAAATGCGGTTCGATTGTTTCCAAGTTTTAATTGAAATGTTCCTAGGCTTGAAATGTCATTAAATTCTGAAGTATCAATATAGGAATGCGGGGGAGCAAACAACGAATAGTCCGGGGCTCCTCTGACGACAGGAATGACGTCAGCTTGTGACGCATAAATCTTAAAACATTTTTCGGTGACGTAATCACGACACAATTCGTTCTCAAACGCGAGATAAAATTTGTATTTGTCACTTAATAACTTATTGCAATCTTTAATCGTGTCTGTTGGACATTTCTTTGGTCCCGTTCGTGAGAAAATATCTACATTGGTTGTGTTACTCAACGCCTTGGCGAATTTTGCTCGTTTACTCGGGACGTTTTTATGAGACACAAACCACGCATTACCACCGCTTTTATCTTCCCATTTACTCTTCAATCTTACTCTTACTGTGTCTTTCACTTCCTTAAATAACATTGTACCATAAACGTGAGTAAACTCGGCATCTCTTCTATACGAAAATGTCCAGTTTATCATACGATTCCAGTTTTGCAAATTTGCCTGAAGAAAAGGTGGCTCCATGCCATGGTATATCCACACTTGACCAGCTGGTTTTGGAGGAGGGGTTTTTGGCAAGGTGTTGCTTCCATCAAATATAACAAATTTACTTGAGGAATAATCCTTATAATTACGCCCGAAGGATATTGAACATTTGTGTGCACATTTTTTAAAGGTATCACTTCCGGTCCATGGTGGAGGGTTGAAAAAATGTATACGAATCTGAGAGTCTTTGACGCTATAACTGTTGTTTACATTTAAATCAGCATTATAGGAAATCGTTGATGACTCGTCAACGGGTTTAAATGTTGGTATAAAAGTTGGTGAAAATGATCCGAAACAATTATGTTTTTCACATATCCATGTATAGGATGTTATGACTCCCAAGTACAAGGCCGTCAGTGCTATCAAACTGACCAGCCTACAGGCATTTGACGATGACCTGCAAGTAAATAAACATTATATAATACATATACAAAAAGACAAGTGACTATATACATGAATAAAATATTATCATATCGGGCCCTATCGCTTTCTCCCACTCAGGTAAGCGAGACCCACTGGGACGGAGGGGTCACTACATAAATTTTGAAAAAGATTCATAAAGGTGTTTCCATGAAATAGCAATAACAAACTAATACCGTCAAAATCCAAGATGGCGGTTGTGGCCATGTTGGTTTTTCTGCTCAATCTGAAAACTGGATAATGTAGAACTAGGGACCAAAGGATCGCTACATATAAACTTCGAAAAAGAAATATCCATCTAGTACTTCCCAAGAAATAGGGATAACTATCTATTATTGTCGAAATCCAACATGGTGGTTGTAGGCCATGTTGTTTTTTCGGACCAGAGCATTAATGGAACAATGCACAACTAAAGACTAAGGAGTCTCTTCATATGAAAACTGAAAAAAAAACGATCCAGAAATATTAGAAGCGATAACAAACTATCGTGATAAACTCCGAGATGGCTACCTCTCGGCTATGCCATTTTCCAGACCAGTCGTACAAACGAGATAATGCACAACTAGTGACCAGTCGGAATCAACATATGGAATTTTTGAAAATTATCCATACAGTACTTCGCCAAAAATAGCGACAACAAGACTTGCTTAAGGGCTGACGGGTGGACCACCTGATGATGGTGGGCTAAAACATTAAAAAATGAGTTTAAATCCTTCGTTTTCACTTGAAACAATTGGCTAATAATGATATAGAATTGGATTGACAGTTTCTCAGTTATGGATTTATTTACATAATGCCAAATTTAAATGTAAATATCACTTAATTTCCCGAGAATGATTAACCATACGAAATATAGAAATCTATATAATCTCGACTGAACGGTGTTAACAGAAATCATCTTCATGTCAGTCATTCATGATTATAATAGTGGACAGGATGTGTTTACAGAAATCATCTTCATGTCAGTCATTCATGATTATAATAGTGGACAGGATGTGTAAAACAGCATGTGATGACAATCAGGAGGTTAAAGCACTATTTTTATACATACTGATTCCCAGTCGTTCTCTTTAACATCAGAGTGCTGGCGTGTCCAAAACACATACATATCCGAAACGCATCTAATATGTGATCCGCATCTGACCTTGTCAGGTTAAAACTAAGGTATAAATTACCATTTCATTTTGTTTCTCGTCAAGCAGGACTGATCACCAACTAGCAGGACTGATCACCAACTATAAAACTTCAGTAACTGGAGCTGATACATCCTGTCAAATACAAAAATTGTATATTTATATCAATGTGTCACGAAATCTCTATCGTCAAAGCTCTTTCAAAGTGGATAGAATAACGAAACTGAAGGCAGATAAGAAATTGATATTTAAAAGTCGTACTATTTCATCTTAATTTGGCGTTTCCTATTGAGCTCTCCGTGAATCAAACACGATATGACTATAAGTCATGCATACAGTCTGCATACCACTGTTGTATTTTAACATTTGTGGTCTAAAGTACAAAATATTTTGCAGTATTTTAGTCGAGATCTAAAAATAAACTACTTGTACAAAAGATTCTTTTTCTTTTAATATTTTATACATCTATGTCCATTTTGAAACATATTTTGTCGCAATAAAATTTTACTCTCATCATCAGTATTTAGAGAGCCCAATGATGACTATACTGAACCAGTGATAACCTTAAAGCGATAAAATTGGATCTTTAGTCAATATATATATATATTTATTTCATAACAACATTCGACCTAATGCCATTTTTATTCTGATAGGAAAGGACTTCTAAATTTCCCATAACCAAAATTAATGATAACAGTAAGATAGCCTGAAGATTCGGCAGGAAAAGAAGACAAGGACCCCTCCACCGCCTGAAGTCCAGACACACCACCACAAGATTACCTTTAGACCAGGGAGTCGTCTCCAAATTATATACCAGTCAACCCCCAGACGACTCTGGAGCACCCTCCTCCCCCTTCTTCGTTACAAATATATAATTTGTAGATGAAAATAAGTTGTGTCATTTTTTAGTTGAAGCTTACACATGAACTTCCGAGTCTTACCAAATTTTACATGAATTTCGGATAGTTTTGCCAAATTTTTAACAAACCGATTATTTTGACAATTTCATAGTGAAATAAAAGCAGTTTTAGGAAAAACTCACCAAATATATGCCTCTAGCTATCAAGTATAGTAACTTTTCAACACATTGATATGACTTTTTTAATTACAAACTAGTTGTGTCATTTTTTAGGCGAATATGACACATAATATCAGTTGACGGAAATCCCAGTACAGGAAAACATGGCATCAATGTTACGTGTATCGCCGAGTCATAAAGACGGAATGGTGTTGATATATACTAAATAGTTATTTTCTTTTCTAATCAAAGTATATATGATATCTTCAAAATAAAGGATTTCATACGAAATTAAGGAAATGAGTGATAAACTACAGTGTATAAACACATTTTCACATAGAAAGCCTTACTGCCCCTCTTGCTGAATCAACCGTTGCCATGATGACCGAGTTAGATGCCCCCCCCCTCCCCCACAACCACCACCACTAACTGAACGATGTAACCATTTAGAAAAGAAAGCCCGAAATCCCTTATCAAAGCATGGGACGTGAATTTAGAACGACCGACATGGGATTAAGTTTATACCTTTAAACGAAAACACGAACAAAATTAAAAATAAACGTCAATTTCTATCTTTCTAACGGTAGCTTTTGAAAGTATGCTGACCTCGTATTGAAAACATCTCCCGATTTGTTAGTTTAAATTATTCGAAAATGACTTACCCGATATCGTAATTAAGTTGGATTTCAAACAACATTACTTTTAATTTTTTATATATAACGTAGCACTTGAACTTTTTATTTTGCAGCTCACATATATTTAGTCTATTGATATTGAATGGTGTTATTGGATTAAAACCATGACAAGGTCAGAAATTTTCTGAGCTTACAAAGTCTGGTCAGTCCAAAAGAAGAATGGTTGAGAAAGAGACTGTGAAAAAGTCATTGAAATTCTTGGGAAAAGGTAATGTAAAACCTTTGTCTGTATTACAGGGTTTTCCATAAGAGCCGGTCGCCAATTTGACCGGCTACTTTGATCATTTGGCCGCCTACACCAATCCAGTTCCGTAATAATGTTCCGTACACGACTACATGTACACGGCAGGCCAGCCTACTACTAACAAAATTATGGAAAACCCTGTTATTAGTTGAGAGGGAAAATGACAAGAAAGAGTTGTTTGTGCTGAATGGAAGTAAAGAGAAGCATGATATAGAGGAGAAATCTGAAAAGTTGAAAGCTTTGCTTTATATTTTAGACACTTTTAATATTAATAGAGAGGCATATGCAGAACTTAGTATGTATTGTAAAGAACTACCAAGGCGTCATGTGTTGCAGGAATTTGTGAATAAGCTTAATGCTGGATTTAAGATTGTGGATACTCCCAATGGCCTTGGAGTCCAACAGTCATTGAATTTAGAAGATAATGAATTTGCACCTGATGGCAAAACCAAAATCAAGTTATCAGGAGATGGCACAAATATTGGTAAACGTCTGCATGTAGTAAATGTGTCATTCACAGTGATCAACGAGAAGAGATGTAGGGCTGCTAGTGGAAACTACCCTCTTTGTGTAATTCAAAGGAAAATTTCAATGAAATTGCTGTTGGTCTCAGCGATTTACAACAGGAAGTTGGTGAATGGCAGGATTCATCTGTCACTGTTAATGGAAGGGATGTTACTATTGAAATATTCTTGGTTGGGGATTACAAGTTCCTTCTGGTTGCAGTGGGAATACCTTGTATAGCTTGAGAATATTTCTGTGTGTATTTGCAGTAAGTCTGAAAAATATTAATTAGATTTAGAATGGTCAATGGAAGATGTAACCAAAGGTGCTAGGTCTCTGTATGAATGCCCCGACAGTTGTCTGAAAGTTCGCAAAAAATGTAGTATAAAACATTCTCTGTAGTCAATCCCCCGAAATTCCCCAATATTAATCCACTGAGAGTTGTCGTGGACCCTTTGCACATGTTTCTAAGAATTACAGACAAACTTTTCAATCTGCTTCTAGCAGAGCTCAGAACACTGGACAACATAAATGTAAACACTACTTTTAACACAGGAGTGATTTGCAGAACTGAAGTTCAACATATTGCAAAACTAGAAGCTGTTCTGAAACAACTGGGAATACCTTTTTACACTCTCTGTAAACAGAGATACAAAGCGCTTAACGTAGAGAGATCTTGTTGGTCCAGAAAAGCTCAAACTGATAAAATCGTTCTGTGCGAATGACCTTATTTCAGATGAGGGACGAGCAGACCTTTTGCAGAAAGTTTGGGATGGTTTTGGTCGTATTGACCAGAGTATCAAATCTGAATCTCCTGATGCAGATGAATTGGAAAAACGGACTAAAGAGTGGTGTTTGCTTTCGGGACATCACACCTTACATTCACATTCTTAGATGTCATGCACATGAATTAGTAAGGCGCCATAGAGATGTTTCCTCTTTTACCCAACAGGGTCTGGAAAAATTAAATGACCCTATCACAAAACAATACTTTCAAGGCAGCTGTCATAAACCTCAGCTAGCATTGCACCAGATCATGGAAAAATATAATGGAATTTCAATCCTGGAACATTCACGATGACATAAATCAAAGACATTGAAATGTTCATGTTGTGGCAGTGCTGATCATAATAAAATAAGTTGTAGCAAGTCATAACATGTGCATGGAACAGAAAACTGCTAGAAATCTGTATTTAACAAAGCAGAACTTTATGAAAAATTACAATGTGGGAGGTTACATTATATGTGTTTCTATGTTTACAGTATATGTTAATCCTTCATGAAATATATTGACAATGTTATTAATTTTTCATGAATTACATGTAATACTTTTGAAATGCATATAAGAATTAAGTTTCAGAGCAAACCATGAAGGCACAGCTACGTGAAAAAGATGAGGAGATTGACCCAGCCCAGTGTGCTGCAAATTACAACGAACAATATAGCAGAAAGTGTAACATAAGAGTGACAGGATTTAAAGACACAGATGGAGAGAATTTTAGAGAAGAATTCAGAGTGCAGGGATACAGCAGGAGTAGAATTAGACAACAGAGATATTGTGGCGATCCACCGCCTTCCTTCCAAATCTACGCGAAGGCCAATATTAGTGAAATTTTTCAATAGTGAGGCAAAAAGTGATGTAATGAGACACAAAGCAGTGTTAAAAGGAAAACAGATCAAGGTACATGATGATATTACAAAACTGAACTTACATCTCATCAACAGATTGAATGACTGTAAGGACATAGACTATGGTTGGTATTATAACTGTGGAATCTTTGGTAAATGTAGGAGCTCTGGAGAACGAATTCGCTTCGATCTGTTTTATGACATCAGTTATGCAGTACGGGAACATCTCAAGGAGGTAAATCAAAAGAAGGGAAAGGTAGACTAGAATCACACGCAAGTGAGTAAACAATTACATGAGGGCAATGGAGACTGGCAAACATTAGCAAAATCAAAATTTAAATCACTTGGAGGAGATAGGCTTTGGAATTTAAATAAACAGAAAATAAAGGAAATATCAAGTGTAATTACAAATAAATTTTGGAAAGATGTTCTTCTATCCTGGAGTGAATTGAAAAGTGATGATAATCAGTCTGATATTTTAAATTATGTCACCATAAAATCCTTTAAAAAATATTTAAATTATGATGAAAAGGGATTTAAAACAATTAGGGATTTTCTAGATGAAAATTTACTATTTTTACCATTTAATCAAATAAAAGAAGTCTGTCATAATCTAAATTTTCTGCAATATTTTGCTTTCATAAATAAAATACCGAAGGAAAAAACAATTGAATTCATATGAAACAGATAACATACCAGGCAATGATGGAGATCAAGAGACACATCTAAACAAGCTACTAACTAGAACAGACCATAAATACACTTACCACTCCGTTACAAAAGCAAAAATATTACCCTGCATCTAAACAAGAGAAATGGAATAGAGATCTGGGCATAAATAATGAAAATACCATAAACTGGGAAAAAATATATAGTGCTTGTTTTAAAACATGTCCAGATACAAAACTGCAAAATTTTCAATTTAAACTCTTACATAGAATTTTAATTACAAATAATTTCCTATACAGAATTAAAATTGTAAGAGATGAAAATTGTACTTTCTGTGAAAAAGAACAAGAATCTTTAACACACCTCTTTTATCACTGTGAAAACGTGTATACATTATGGGAAGATTTAAAACAGTGTTTAAACAACATGCAAAATGATATCGTAATTAACGAATGGGACATAAAGGAAATTTTAATTTATTATAATGATTCTATTTTAATTAATCACTTGATATTAATTACAAAATATTATATCTACACTTGTCGCTTTAGGAATGTAAAACCATCCTTCCCAGGGCTTAAATCTGTAGTCTCTGTACAGAAGGAAGTTGAACGGAAAATTGCCTTTGAAAACAAATCTTTTATCAATTTTTAGGCTAAGTGGTCTCCCCTTGACATTTAAGTCGGGTCATCTTTTAATATCCATACAGAATAATCCCCCTTGACAACCTTTTCATAGTCTTATATATACCCTGTTTCATTCTTACTAAGATTTCTTTATGCATATAATATTAGTAAAAAAAAACTTATATATAACACTGATTTTTTTTTCTTTTTTTTTTCTTTGTTGTTCTTGTCATGTATTTATCTGTGTCATATATAAACATGTACATGTAGTGTAGAAAAAGAAGACCTATGTATGTTAATTGGTATATGCATAGTATGTATAAAGTAATAAAGCTTATATATAAATATAACTATATATGTTTGTAAATCAGACCTACATGCGAGTTATTTTTAATATTTCATGTCACTATCAGTAGGTAATTTGCCAGTAATTATAATAATAAGAATTGATACCTGATATTGAGCTTAAGACTTTTTGCAGATCATCCATACCACTCTGTACTTGTTACTTTGATATATTAAATGTAATATTTGTCTCTGTCTAAAACCTAGCAGGGAGCCTGGACCTGTTGGTTGTTGATGTATACAGGTATGTTTGTTTTGTGGTGTCAATAAAAAAAAAAAAAAAAACGTTTCATAGCACTACATGTATGCATAAGGCAATTAAGTTGTTTTGCTGAAAACAAATTGTAAATTATAGGAGATTTTACATTACAGAAGTGATTTTGTTTGACTGACAAGTTGTGACATGTTTTGGAATAACAATCTCTATGTGTTTGTCTGTATGTCCATATATTCCTCAGTATTTCTTGGACAAGCTTTGATATACTCCCAATACCACTTCAAATATTTGTGTAAATAATCTGTGTATATTTTTTTTTTTAGATGTCTACCATTAATGTCACATAGCCAAAACCAAAGTTCAAGCTTTGGAGATATATTACAGGCTGATAATACTCTAATACACATTATAGTTAACTTTGAAGCAAATTTTTGATCAATTTTCTATCTGTTTTGTCTTTGACTAGTTACTAGCAGTATTTTGGTATTAAATGTTGCAAGTATTTTGTTCTGGTACATCGATTTATCTACATACTGTGATTTTTGTTCATAAGCAATTTGTTTTATTATATTTTTTTGTTGAAATATACCAAGTGATCTCTTATGTGTATTTTTTTTTACATTATTTTCTGTTATTAGTTCTTAAATTTTATTTACAAATAGTGTTAATTGCTCAGGTATTTACGCCGGGAAGAAATGGCTGTAATACATAAATTGTGATTTAAAATGTGATATGTCAAGCGCCAATAAAAATTGTTTGACTGGAACTTTATCTTGGGTATGATTTTCACCAAGCACCTGCTGTCGTTCAACTGTCGAAAATTAGAAAATCACGGATTTATCGTTACATATACCTATCTGAAATCCAGCTGGCTGAAAAGAAACAACTTCTAATGATGTCATATCAAAGGTCATAAATGATTGTATGGTTAATATTTTCTTAAAATAGAAAATCGGTGGGCTACCCCTTCACAAACACCATCTTTGCTATCGCAAAACTGCTCAATCCGATTTATTTACATACAAGTTTACGACGCGTAGCTGATCCTGATGTTACTGCAAACATTTTAATTAAATCTTAAATAAACACGGTTAACTACAGTCGGGAGTAATAAATGATTTGAAGCCGATACATGAAGAACTGATCAATAATATTACGTTTCGTCGGTTAGTAATGTTCAGGTGAATGTGACAGAGTGGCGAAAAAGACAGATAACTCCTTCACAGTCAATATTGATCTGATATGATATTTTTTTGGTTGGTTTTTTTCAACCTACTTGCCGAAAACTGATATCCATCTTTTCAAACCTGTTCAAATTGCAATGAATGGGTTTTCAAAAATAAATGATAATTGCTACACAAGGCAAATCTCAGCAATTTCCCATGGAGTCGAAGGATTCAAATAGTTTTATTTTTACTTAAATTTTTAAGGGCAACATGACCTTTCCCAAGTTGTTTTTGGAATCCGATATGTTTGATTTGTACTTAAATACATTAACACATTGAAATATCAAACATATCAAACAAAACAATTCACCACAACAAATACGATATATCTATGATTATTTCCAACTCAATTTCTGTTGAGCAATTAAGTTTGACTTGCCCGGCACTGTCAATTGTGACAATCTGCAGCTCTGAATTTTTTTGTCAGCTTGTAGTATTATTCTTTAGTTTCGTATTTTTCCACCAAAATGTACTTAACAGTTTACAACACTAAATAATTATTTTTTCTCACTTAATTCCACATGCAGTTACCATTTTAATTATACAAATAACGTAAATGTCAAGCCTGCCTATCAGAACACTACAGAAAGCTGGAATAAACATACCTTAAAAGTAACTGGTATAATCCCAAGACATCCTTCTCCTCGAAAGAAATTAAAGTATTCCGAAAGTTTTGAAACTTCCTTTCGCACCGGTCTACAAGCAATTTTATTTTATTTCTCGTTTGTAAAGCCAATTCAAAAGCAAATTTCGTTCTGAAAATATGGTTAGGATAGCAGTTGTAGGATCCTCGCATATAAGGCGATTGAATGATAATGATGAGTTGATCTGTGGCACCACAGTATCCAAATTTCTTTGGAGAAGTGGTTGCGTAATTGACTGCGTAGATGAGTTCATGGCTGCCTTACACACATTTTAAGATGAAATTCCTGTAGATAATATAGGAATATTGGAAAACAACTATTCAATTATTGTTGACATGACCAATATCTTTCTAAATTTAGTTTAAATGAAATATTTTTAGTGCATATTTAGATCCATCAAATAATTTCTATACCTTTTAGTTAAAAGCCAGCAGTTTCCACACATCTAAATCATACTCTGAAAAGATGTGTCAGATGGTTAAGATAATTGAAATGTCAATAAAATTAGAAAAATCTTCAATTTTTTGTGTAACACTCTAAACATTGTTAAAGTACGGAGGTTAATTTCTCATCAAATACAAAAACCAATCATAACAAAACATAGCTTATCTATATATAACCATCCAAACAGATTTTCACATACAGTTTATATACAGTTAACTTGAATCTATTGATAAATTGGCATGTTAAATTTCTGGTTGGCTTGAAACTTTATAAGTTGTCGTCATAAACCAAACTTGGAATGTTTTTATATCTCTGTATCTACGGCACGCATCTGGGTCATCAAATGAAGATGGATACTAAAATGTCGACCATCCCGCATATTTATTTAAATTCAACTGCATACTTTCAAATCAAAATTACATTACTGAAGCATGAGCTGTATGTTTATATGGCCTCATTGCAGTTTTAAGCCAGTCTGCTATGAATTTCAATACCCTAATCAGCAGGCTTATCTATAGCCAGAGACGTATATATCATGTGATATATACGTCTCTGATATAGCTAAATCAATATTACTGAAGTGATTTAGATTTTTTGGACTGTGCACTCTTACATATATTTTTATCCATTTAATGGCAATTTGAATACTTCTTGTTGATTATCAAAAAAAGCCTTGTGTGTTGTTTCTCCTGCTCGTATTGGATTACAGGTAACCTGATATCGATACGCGTCGTTGGGTCACTTCACTTGATCAGTGAAAATTCTTTCAAAACATTTCCCTGTATTTCACTTTCCTAGTTCTTTCCGATATACAACATTCTAGATCGATATTTAATCAATATTTGTAAGTACTTACTGTAGCAATCGGTTGCTTCTATAATTTGATTGCGGTAATTTGCTAGCGGTCCGTCAGGTCTTTGTCGCTTGGCATCATTAATCACATGGAAGTGAAAATATCGCTATAATCTCGTCTAAGCGGGATCTCATCCGTGAAAAAAAGCGGAACAGAGAGTGAACATTCCCTCTGTTATCTACGTCCCTGTTCTAAGTAACGGCTTAGGCCTAAGATGTACCTTTGGACATATAAGGATAATTTTGTGATCTTGAACCAATATGATTTATCTAAAATATTCTTTTTAGCTCTCCTTTGCAGTTTTAATATTTTGTGTTTTTATCTGTGAGAAAGTTGTTAAAGACATATACAGAGAAGCAAATTATGCATATCTAGTCAGATGTAAAGCGGGTAGAAAACGGAATAATATGTATGTATACAGGGCAGAAAAGGGTACAATAATTATGTATACAGGGCAGAAAAGGATACAATAATTTTGTATACAAGGCAGAAAAGGGTACAATAATTTTGTATACAGGGCAGAAAAGGGTACAATAATTTTGTATACAGGGCAGAAAAGGGTACAATAATTACGTATACAAGGCAGAAAAGGGTACAATAATTTTGTATACAGGGCAGAAAAGGATACAATAATTATGTATACAGGGCAGAAAAGGGTACAATAATTATGTATACAGGGCAGAAAAGGGTACAATAATTATGTATACAGGGCAGAAAAGGGTACAATAATTTTGTATACAGGGCAGACAATGGTTCAATAATTATGTATACAGGGCAGAAAAGGGTACAATAATTTTGTATACAAGGCAGAAAAGGGTACAATAATTTTGTATACAGGGCAGAAAAGGGTACAATAATTATGTATACAGGGCAGAAAAGGGTACAATAATTATGTATACAGGACAGAAAAGGGTACAATAATTATGTATACAGGGCAGAAAAGGGTTCAATATTTATGTATACATGACAGAAAAGGGTACAATAATTATGTATACAGGGCAGAAAAGGGTTCAATATTTATGTATACATGACAGAAAACTGTACAATAATCAATGTATACAGGACAGAAAACTGAAATATTTTTGTGTACAAGACAGAAAACCACAATATGTATGTATACAGGACAGAAAACTACAATAATTACGTATACAGGACAGAAAACGGTAAAATAATTGTACAGCACAGAAAACTGTACAATATTTTTGTGTACAAGACAGAAAATTGTAAAATAACTATGTATACAGGACAGAAAACTGTAAAATATTTATGTATACAGGACAGAAAACTGTAAAACAATTATGTATACAGGACAGAAAACTACAATAATTATGTATACAGGACAGAAAACTACAATAATTATGTATACAGCACAGAAAACTGTAAAACAATTATGTATACAGGACAGAAAACTGTAAAACAATTATGTATACAGGACAGAAAACTACAATAATTATGTATACAGCACAGAAAACTGTAAAACAATTATGTATACAGGACAGAAAACTGTAAAACAATTATGTATACAGGACAGAAAACTACAATAATTATGTATACAGGACAGAAAACTGTAAAACAATTATGTATACAGGACAGAAAACTGAAATATTTTTGTGTACAAGACAGAAAACTACAATATGTATGTATACAGGACAGAAAACTACAATAATTACGTATACAGGACAGAAAACGGTAAAATAATTGTACAGCACAGAAAACTGTACAATGTTTTTGTGTACAAGACAGAAAACTACAATAATTATGTATACAAGACAGAAAACTGTAAAACAATTATGTATACAGGGCAGAAAAGGGTACAATAATTATGTATACAGGGCAGAAAAGGGTACAATAATTTTGTATACAGGGCAGACAATGGTTCAATAATTATGTATACAGGGCAGAAAAGGATACAATAATTTTGTATACAGGGCAGAAAAGGATACAATAATTTTGTATACAAGGCAGAAAAGGATACAATAATTTTGTATACAGGGCAGACAATGGTTCAATAATTATGTATACAGGGCAGAAAAGGATACAATAATTTTGTATACAGGGCAGAAAAGGGTACAATAATTATGTATACAGGGCAGAAAAGGATACAATAATTATGTATACAGGGCAGACAATGGTTCAATAATTATGTATACAGGGCAGAAAAGGATACAATAATTTTGTATACAGGGCAGAAAAGGGTACAATAATTTTGTATACAGGGCAGAAAAGGATACAATAATTATGTATACAGGGCAGAAAAGGGTTCAATATTTATGTATACATGACAGAAAACTGTACAATATTTATGTATACATGACAGAAAAGGATACAATAATTATGTATACAGGGCAGAAAAGGGTTCAATATTTATGTATACATGACAGAAAACTGTACAATAATCAATGTATACAGGACAGAAAACTGAAATATTTTTGTGTACAAGACAGAAAACCACAATATGTATGTATACAGGACAGAAAACTACAATAATTACGTATACAGGACAGAAAACGGTAAAATAATTGTACAGCACAGAAAACTGTACAATATTTTTGTGTACAAGACAGAAAATTGTAAAATAACTATGTATACAGGACAGAAAACTGTAAAATATTTATGTATACAGGACAGAAAACTGTAAAACAATTATGTATACAGGACAGAAAACTACAATAATTATGTATACAGGACAGAAAACTACAATAATTATGTATACAGCACAGAAAACTGTAAAACAATTATGTATACAGGACAGAAAACTGTAAAACAATTATGTATACAGGACAGAAAACTACAATAATTATGTATACAGGACAGAAAACTGTAAAACAATTATGTATACAGGACAGAAAACTACAATAATTATGTATACAGGACAGAAAACTGTAAAACAATTATGTATACAGGACAGAAAACTGTAAAACAATTATGTATACAGGACAGAAAACTACAATAATTATGTATACAGGACAGAAAACTGTAAAACAATTATGTATACAGGACAGAAAACTGAAATATTTTTGTGTACAAGACAGAAAACTACAATATGTATGTATACAGGACAGAAAACTACAATAATTACGTATACAGGACAGAAAACGGTAAAATAATTGTACAGCACAGAAAACTGTACAATGTTTTTGTGTACAAGACAGAAAACTACAATAATTATGTATACAAGACAGAAAACTGTAAAACAATTATGTATACAGGGCAGAAAAGGGTACAATAATTATGTATACAGGGCAGAAAAGGGTACAATAATTTTGTATACAGGGCAGACAATGGTTCAATAATTATGTATACAGGGCAGAAAAGGATACAATAATTATGTATACAGGGCAGAAAAGGATACAATAATTTTGTATACAAGGCAGAAAAGGGTACAATAATTTTGTATACAGGGCAGAAAAGGGTACAATAATTACGTATACAGGGCAGAAAAGGGTACAATAATTATGTATACAGGGCAGAAAAGGGTACAATAATTTTGTATACAGGGCAGAAAAGGGTACAATAATTATGTATACAGGGCAGAAAAGGGTACAATAATTATGTATACAGGACAGAAAAGGGTACAATAATTATGTATACAGGGCAGAAAAGGGTTCAATATTTATGTATACATGACAGAAAAGGGTACAATAATTATGTATACAGGGCAGAAAAGGGTTCAATATTTATGTATACATGACAGAAAACTGTACAATAATCAATGTATACAGGACAGAAAACTGAAATATTTTTGTGTACAAGACAGAAAACCACAATATGTATGTATACAGGACAGAAAACTACAATAATTACGTATACAGGACAGAAAACGGTAAAATAATTGTACAGCACAGAAAACTGTACAATATTTTTGTGTACAAGACAGAAAATTGTAAAATAACTATGTATACAGGACAGAAAACTGTAAAATATTTATGTATACAGGACAGAAAACTGTAAAACAATTATGTATACAGGACAGAAAACTACAATAATTATGTATACAGGACAGAAAACTACAATAATTATGTATACAGCACAGAAAACTGTAAAACAATTATGTATACAGGACAGAAAACTGTAAAACAATTATGTATACAGGACAGAAAACTACAATAATTATGTATACAGGACAGAAAACTGTAAAACAATTATGTATACAGGACAGAAAACTGAAATATTTTTGTGTACAAGACAGAAAACTACAATATGTATGTATACAGGACAGAAAACTACAATAATTACGTATACAGGACAGAAAACGGTAAAATAATTGTACAGCACAGAAAACTGTACAATGTTTTTGTGTACAAGACAGAAAACTACAATAATTATGTATACAAGACAGAAAACTGTAAAACAATTATGTATACAGGACAGAAAACGGTACTAACGTAAATCGTGATCAGATACAACCGTGGTGTATATTTAAACAGATAATGTTTATGGAGACTCAACAGATCCTGTACAGTACAAAGCCTTCCTCAGGCTAGGTTACACAACAGAGATTGTTTTACATTACGTTCCGAAGAACAAAGCATGCCAGCACCGTTAAGAAGTGGGGCATAAAATAAAATGATGTCCTTTTCTCCGTAACCTCATTTTGCTAGACTAGCGAGGTACCTGAAATCTACCTGAGCGTCTCTGGCTCAGGTAGATTCCAGGTACCTCTCTAGACTGGTCTAGTATTACCAGTGTTGACAGAATCTCGTTAAAGTGAGGTCATTTGTTACTCAGACTGGTCTCGTGTTACCTGTCGGTTTGCTAATATAATTTCGCTGAAGTGAGGTACTGTGTTACCATTTCGGTAATAAATCACGGAGAGAGCAAGTGAATTCGCATTTGAAAATGGCTGACACCTAGTGGTTTCTGTAAAGTACCCATTAGTAAAGTATCTAATATGGCGGTATATCAGATATACTTATTACAATGCCTGTATCCATGTCTACGATTACGTTTAAATGTGGTAAGATAAAAGCCATGATATTAGTTTTACTGCATCTAGGACTGGACAAATTTTCTACAGAGTCCACGCGCTCATGGCAGCAATATATAATAATAATAGTAGATA